AATGTTTTAAGAACCAGAAAAATGCTATAGAAAAGATACATACACCCCATACAGACTGTCAATATGACTGACAGTTTAAAGAAAAACAGTGCATGACTATTCCACGATGTACTCATAGTACTTTCTTCACTTAGATTATTACCTTTCTCATCCTCTCCACACCTCTGTTAATGACTGGTTAAATATCAGCATTGCCATTTACAACCATTGGAATGAGAGGCCTAACCATTGCCGGCAATGGAGATGAGAACCAAACTTAAGTTTCTCTTCTAAATCTGAGGTTCATTGTAGCTCCTCAGTAGGGCCAAATTGCTCCTCAAGAACTACCTTTGGCCTGAGTTCCCTCGGCTGTAAAAGTAGGAACATACCATGTTTATAAAAGGTGATTGCTCTCAGAGTGAAGATTTCAGTATCTAGGAATCAGAGCCCCGAGTTCTTTGGGCATTAAAATGCTTTATATGGTTAGCAAAAGCCTAGAAAACAATCATCTGATAGGGGATGTAGTGGCTATTTGTGAACTCTGTCTCTGAAGCAGTCGAAATAACTGAATCATTCCTAACCTATGATGTGGACTTCAGCAAATGAATCTTAGGGCAGAAAAAAATGTTTCTAAAGACACTTTGATTCGGAACAATGCTGGGAAATTTTTGACTCCTTTATGGTATTTCCTTGATTTAACTATGGACTGTTTTCTTCACATTGCTTCTTATGTAAGCATTCATTAATTGATTGAACTTATTCATCCCTGTAAGAAACCTGCAAATCTTTTTCCCCATCAGAAATGTAAATTGTTTGGAAATTATTCTAAACTATTATATTCACAGGGGAAAAAATCCATAGTAATACTCTAGATTTAGCCTTTCATACCTTGATAAAAACTTGAAGAGGTGCTGAAGCAATGTTATTAAAATGCCATTTGGTCCCCTGCTACTTGCTTGACACCCAGCAGATGTCAGGAAGTGTTGTAGTTGTCACTGTAAGCAGGTAAATGTTAGACTATTCAATTTTTGAACATCAGTGAAGATTTTTAAAAATATCTATGCCGGTATTCACACATTTTGACCTATGAAAACCTGATCATTTTCATCTGTATTTCATTGTCATCATATTCTAAAATGATTGACCACTGTATCTTTAATTCATACACAGTGCCTTACATATAACTGGTGCGCCATTGGTGCTGATTGAATGAATGTTGAATAAACTTATAGGGTAGTTAGGGCAAGAGAGCAGTCTTACTTTTTAAGAAATAGAGACAAAGATTTTTCTTTTTATTTAATGATTAAGGTATTATTGGGTAGCAAGTTACCTAGAGAAAAATCTTGAATACATTTATGCTCTTGAGCTGTTTTTCTCACCATTTCTAATCAGAGAGGTTTAGGTGAGGGGAACCAGGAATTGCCAACAGTAAAAATGGCTGTTCTGTCCAAACAGATGCTGTTTCCATGGATGTAACATGGAAAGAGTGGCCTTGTTTGTTAGGACACCTGTTTGTTCTTACCTACAAGTAATTCAAATGCCCAAAATTATTACTTTGGGTGTGGAAATAGCCTGTGAATGCACATTCACACATTCAGCTAAGAGTATATTTAAGGTGCTGCCTGATGGTGATATTTAATTCTAAAAAGGGGGCAGTCTGCACTTCACCTTCTAAATCTAACATTGCAATCATCTTGGGTTATTTTTAAGTCAACTAGATGAAAAAGTCTAACAGGATGAGGTAGGTAAGCTTATGTCAAGTATCTAGAAGCAATTGTGTTTTCATCTTGTTCTACTCTCTCTATATTTCTTGTCAACAAAGCAAATATGTATGTCTATGAAATTAATGATATTGTGAGAAGGAAAAGACTAGGCAGAATAGATTCTTTTTAAAAAACAAACCAACGGCTCAACGCCTATAGCTCAACTGGCTAAGGCGCCAGCCACGTACACCTAAGGTGGCGGGTTCGAATCCCCAGCCCGGACCGCCAAACAACAATGACGGCTGCAACCAAAAAATAGCCAGGCGTTGTGGTGGGCGCCTGTGGTCCCAGCTACTTGGGAGGCAGAGGCAGGAGACTCGCTTGAGCCCAGGAGTTGGAGGTTGCTGTGAGCTGTAATGCCACGGCACTGTACCCAGGGGGAAAGCTTGAGGCTCTGTCTCAAAAAAAAAAAAAAAAACCAACATTTTACTGGCTTATGAAAGTTTAGTAAATTAAAAAGAGAACAAGAAATGTTTAGAATAGGGTAAAAACTTTTCGAGGACAAATCAGTATTTTTTTTTTTTTTTGAGACAGAGCCTCAAGCTGTCCCCCTGGGCAGAGTGCCGTGGCATTACAGCTCACAGCAACCTCCAACTCCTGGGCTCAAGCGAGTCTCCTGCCTCCGCCTCCCAAGTAGCTGGGACCACAGGCGCCCGCCACAACGCCCGGCTATTTTTTGGTTGCAGCCGTCATTGTTGTTTGGCGGGTCCGGGCTGGGGATTCGAACCCGCCACCTTAGGTGTACGTGGCTGGCGCCTTAGCCGGTTGAGCTATAGGCGCCGAGCCGACAAATCTGTATTTTTAAGGGTTCTAGTATTACTCCTTCCTCTAGTAAAAGGATCAAATATAGTTCAGTCACTGGGTTAATTTTGTTTGTTTAGCAGAAACATTTAAATTTGATAAGATTCTTTTTTGAGAAGTCAGATGGTGCATTTATGTAAAATACATAAAGGCATCTATTCAAATTGTTATTCCATAACCTTTCCTAGGGTCATTTCTTTTTTTTTTTTTTTTTTGCAGTTTTTGGCCAGGGCCAGGTTTGAACCCACCACCTCTGGTATATGGGGCTGGCGCCCTACTTCTTGAGCCACAGGTGCCGCCCCACCTAGGGTCATTTCTTATCAGTCTTGCTATTACTACCACATGAAACTCTGTCCTGCATTTACCTGTTTTCTTGTTTCAGTGTACTGTTCTATACATTGTTATTAATGAAACATGACATAGGTATATTACATGGTGTATTAACTTGAATTTATATCGTTTTAACTAATATAGCTTTATGCTTGGGAACCAAACTCAGGTCTTGATGAGCAACATACTATGTATTATTAGTTAAGACCTTCTTTTTATCCCAACCATTAAATGAAGTTATAGGGCACTTTTGCTTGAGTCCCACCTTCTGTGAGAAAAAGTTACAAATACATTATTGTGATTGGGCTTTTGTTTGGTGGTTGTGGCTTTTTGGTGGGGGGGGGAAGGTTGGTCAACGATTGAAGGAGGGAAGAGAAATAGTGGACCTGTTCTTTTCCATAAATATAATACCAACCCTTTGCTGCTTAAGCTTTTTGTTAGCACTTTTGTATCAGGTATTTTAAGAGCCTCATTTCTCCAGTGTAGTGTTTTCTGAAATCGTTGAGAAAAATGAAGAATAGTGGAATACAGAAAAAGTTCAAAGTAAGGAAAATGGATGGAGTGTCATTCAATACTATTGTGAACTTGTGTCATTGCCTAAAAAGAAATTTGGATTCACTTCAATAACTAGAGAAGTATTTAACCATTCAAACCCTCCTTCACATGACTAAATGAGAATTCTTACTGGTACTATATTTCTCAAAGTAAGTCGAAGAACTTACTTCCCCCTCCCGTATATTATTTCCAGTATTATATGCTTGAAACATTTAACCTTCTACTAGAACACTAACTTAAAGATATGCTTTGCAGAGAGACACTGGTGCTCTCCAGTTAGTCTTCTTAGACAGACAGTCTTCTTAGACAGATAGTATGTAAGAATATCATCCTTATAATAAAAAATGTAAATTCTATTTGTTTGGCTCTGTCTAGTGAGTAGTAATTTTCCAGCTGTAGACATGATCTCAAAATTTAGTTTTACTTGCTTCTTTTTCTATTTTTAAAAATGTGTATTTATTAGGATGATTGTGTATCCTTAATGTTTATGCCTGATGTGGCTATCATGTGTAGCACTAGTACCTACAAATGAATTAGACCAACTTCTAGGGTAAAACTTCAAGAAAATGGCCCTAAAATCTAAACCAATTTTATTCTATATGAAAATCATCAATCTTGTTTCTTATATTCAAATAATTTTTTTTCTCTTTCAAACACTTCCATGGTATCATTAGACAATTCATTTGGGGGGGGTGCTATGTGGAAAAATTATTAGCCTTTAAAACAGCTAACAAAAATTCACACATTCACTTTGCCTTGGGGGAAGTTAATTTCCTCTTCACTTAATTGTATACAAAAGAATATATGATTCTGGAAATTTTATAAATTCCCCCCTTTTGGCAAATTAGTATTGCATACTTGCTAAGGATAGAGACACTGGAACCAGATTAGATTAGCACTGATACTTGCTGGCTCTGAAACCTTAATAACTTTATTTAATCTTTCTCAGCCTCAAATTTGTCTGCTGTACATTGAAACTGTTTTGTCCTACATAGTATTGTTGTGAGGAATGAGTTAATACGTGCAAAGCTACTGTTCTTCATAGTCATCATCATGTAAGTCCTGCTGGAAAGATACAAACATTCTTTCCTAGTAGGAAGATATCTTTGCATATATAAACTATTTTCTTTTTGCCATGCTTATTGACACATTAGCAATACTTCAGAAAAAGGATCAATAGTATTGGCTAGAAAACAAATACTACATTTATATCAAAGTCTTGGTCAATAATGCAATTTTATTTCCTGTGTTCAGTGTAAGTCTGGTCTTATGAAGAATTTTCATTACTAGAAGTGTTTTAATGTGGCTGCTGTAATAGTATGGTTTACAAAGGTGTTAAAAGTTTTATAAATTTGCTGAGTGATTTTGCTTCTGAGAGTGACGAGATTCTCTTGAGTTGTTAGTTTAAAAGCAACACTCCAGGCCCTACTTGTTCCAAAGAAGAAGAGTATTTGATTTCCTTTACATTCCAAGGGAAGCATCTGCTTTGGGAGGAACAGTCTGTTAGGCTTCGAGGCTTTCAAACATTAGAAAACCTCTTGTTGATTGTTTCTCCATGAATTTGTTTTGCAGCTCGCAGTTCCCCACAATGATGAGTGGACCCGATTTGCCAGGACCCTGGTGGAGATTCGTGCGAACAGAGCTGATAGCGAGGAGGAAGGTGCTGTGGAGATATCTGCCTAGTGGAAAGGAGCCGGCCTCACTGCAGCCCCCACCTTCATGTCCTACAGCTCAGCGTCTGCAGTCAAGCCCATTGCATTTGGTGTCCATTCAGTATCAGTGTTGCTGTAAAATTGTGGGTGCCATGTTGTGCCAGCTTTCCTCCAAGTGTTCCAAATATATCCTGCCATGCTTTCCACTGACCTGAACTTCACCAGACAGCATTTCTATCTTTATATTTCTGTCTCAAAAATGAAGTGGGGGGGGGACTTTTACGGGTTTAGTTGTTGCCTTTTAACTACTTAGTAGCTGTATTTAATAGCTGGAAACCTCTGGTTAAATTTGTGCTTACATGCACTTCTGGCATAGTCCTATTAAATCCATATGAAGCCAGATATGATTGGGTGCAGATGTGGTGTGCCTCATGACATGGTACAGGGCCAAAGACTTGAGATGTGGTGTTTTACATGGTGACTCACGTTATGAATGGATTTACTAGAAGAACATTGCTATTCCTTATTTATTGTAGTGTGCTGCATGGAACATATTTATTTGAAAGCATTAAAATAAACGATCCTAGAGCATGTGCATAATGAGAGGACTGTATTCTCTCTGCTGCTGTTGAGGTTACATTAAGTTCCAAGTAACAATTACAGTATGCCAGTTCCATTGAAGACGTGAAATCTTTAGAGGGTTTGTTGCAGTGAACGGAATGAATTTTAATGCCTATTATTTCTAGGTACTTTAACAATATTTCAAATATAGTTGACCATTGATACTTGTCATTGAAGCTAACACAGTCTGACAAAAGTCTATGGTTCCTAAATATGACACCAGTGTTGCCAATAAAATGTTCCAAACCAGGTTTGCACCAGTGTGGGTAAATCCTTTGCTTGGAGAAAGCCTGACTCGGAGTCTGCTGTGGCAAGGATCGGGAGAGATACCTTAGGGCCATGTTAAGAACTGATGATGAATTTATTTTTGCAGTCAACCTGGCTGGACTTAAACCAAGACCTCTAGTTTTATTTTTATGGGGAATGTGTATGGTTTTTTGGGAAAATTCCCCCTTGTCTCCTTTAGCAAAACCACCCACCCACGAAGACAATTTCAAACAGTGGAGTAGAAAGATGGATTAAGATGAACAAATACCAAATGTCCCACACATTTCTATTTTTTCAAAATTTATACCAGAAAATGATATTTATTACTATTGGACTAGGAAATATGTCTATAAACAACTTTAATAAAACTTTTTTCAAAAGGTCACTTCATGCCTAGAGAGAATGAAAATAAACAGTGGTTGAGTCATGAAAGGCATTGGAAGACAGGCTTTCAGCTTTTTAGGAAGGGAATTTCCATTGGTGCTTTGTTTGGTAGGGATTCCTTGAACTGTAAGTTTTTTTGTTTTTTTTTAAACAATGATACATTTTTTTCTAAGTACCATATGGTATCTAGATACTGAAATTCTTTGTAAGTGGAAATTTTTAATTTACAAATTAAAAAAATGAGTGTCTAAAATAGGCTTCAAAGAAATCCAATGAAAATTAAATGGGGAAAAATGTTTCAGAAACATACCGTAATGTACTTAAGAATAAACCAAAACCCTTACATTGTTAGTATAGACCAAACTTTGAATGATCCAACGAACGAAGACTGACAAGAGCGCAGAGGCCCACGTCACGTGTAGGAGGCTCATGCAGAACTTGTGTGCTTATTCGTGGCACTGTGGAAGCTGGGCTCTAGGACAGCCTACAGTTCCTGGGTAGTGTCATCATCCCATGGTGAAGCTGGGCTGACCTTGTGCAACTGACAGAACACAGCGGGGATGAATATGTGGTTTCCAGGATATCTCAGCTCAGGCTACCATTATAGAACTCAGACGGGATGGCTTAAACAACACATTTATTTCTCACAACGCTAGAGGGTAGGAAATCCAAGATCAAGGCACCAGCAGATCTGGTATTTAGTGAGGGAACTAACTCTTCCTTGTTTGGAGATGGCCATCTTCTCATTGTATCCTCACATGGTAAATATAGAGAGATGTGATCTCTCTCCTATCCTTTCTTATAATGGCACTAATCCAATTCATGAGGGCTCCACCCTCACGCCCTAATTACCTCCCCAAAGCCCCACCTCTAAAAATCATCATATTGGGGATTTTGGCATCAACATATGAATTTAAAAATATATATATAAATATTCAATTCATAGCCCAGGTCATAAGGAGAATTATAGCTTCCTTCTAGGTCTCTTGGCTCACTCACTCTTGGTACCTAAGCCACTGTGTGAGAAGTGATGATGGAGTGGCCACATCGATACAGAAATACCTGCCAGCCCAAAGCCATTCAAGTCATCAAGGCTGATTTCCCAGATAGAATGTGGTGGCCGTGAAAATGCCTCTCAGATGGTTCATGCCTGTAATCCTAGCACTCTGAGAGGCCAAAGTGGGTGGATTGCCTGAGCTCAGGAGTTCAAGACCAGCCTGAGCAAAAGCAAGACGCTATCCCTAAAAAATAGAAAAAAGTTAAGTGGGCATAGTGGCACATGCCTGTAGCCTTGGGAGGCTGAGGCAAGAGGATTGCTCAAGCCTAAGAGTTTGAGGTTGCTGTGAGCTATGATGTCATGATACTCTACCCAAGGTGACAGAGTGAGACACTGTCTCAAAAAAAAAGAAAAGAAAAGAAAACGTCCCTCTCAGATCTCGTACTACAGAGAACATAATTGACAGCTTCAGCTGCTTTGCTCTTAAATCCATCAGCATGTTCAACCAAGTCCATACTTTTCACAGGTTTTTAGATCTGTACCTGGGAGGCACAGGATTTCTCTAAGGTAACTTTGGCTCAAGGACTCCTTGTCAGCAGTTCTAAAAGTTTTTTAGAATTGCTGTGCAATCACTGACTAACCAGCCCACAGGCCTCCCTTCCTTCTTCCCTTCCTATCTTTCCCTCTCTCCTTCCTGATGTCTGACCAAAATCATCATCTGATGGCCCTCCAGCATAACCCAGCTGGGATGTACCAGGCCTGATAAGAGGATAGAGATTATACATCAAAAGAACTGCAAGAATTAGTATGTACCATCAGGAACCTGGGGTCGAGGGGATAGCACTGGAACTGGATTTTGAGGTATTTGGTCAAGGGAGCCAGAATGTAGATTTGATAAAGAAGAGTTTAACATTGACTTTGAGGGTCATTTTTGGAGGGGGAAGAGTAGGAGACATGTGACTTTATACTCTGGTAATGACCCTAAGGGGTAGAGTGGCTCTTAGAATCCTGAAAAATATGTAGCCTATACTTATGCCTGGATTACCACAGTTGATTGTACAGGAAGGAATAAAGATGTTGTAGGAAATGGATATGTGAGGATGGATATATTAGTATTATTTAAGGCCAGATGACTCACCCAAGGGTTATGTTACATAGGAACAGAGTAGATACCTGTCACCAAAGCCATTAGCAATCAGCTGGTTAGAAAGGCAGAAGCCTCTTTAGGAAGTTTTGTGGGAGCTTTGCTCTGCAGCTCAGGGCTGATGGTAGGAGAGGCAGTCACAGCATGGGGCTTGTTAGTATCCAAGGGGACAATGGGACCCCAAAGAAATAGTGGCTGGTTGGTGGCAGCTAACCACCAGAATTCAGGAAGCTGCTATTATAGTAATTACCAGATAGATCAGAGGAATGGACAAGGAGGAAGTTTGGGGAATAAGTAATAGAATGTGGCATCCCTAGGGGCAAAAGAGAGAGCCAAAAGGGTATTGCTTAACATTATGGCCAAAACTTAAAGGCAAGAATGGAGAAGCCAGAGGCTGAAGGCAGTTCTTGGTAAGCTGCAGTCCTCTGGGTACTATATACACCTGAGCCAATTTTCCAGTCCAGAACCCATTGACTGAAAATGTGCTGGGTTGTTAGGAGGAAAGACGCTACCCCCAGCCTTTCCCCAGAGGGAATTATGACCATTAATTTGGGTGAATGTAAAATACAGAGAGAAAAATCCAGATGGTTGAAGGCTATCAGATATGATAGTCAATAAACAACGTGGATCAGAGCTCACCTTGAAACTCTAGCAGAGTGGTGGCTTATGATGAAGGTAATAGAATGGAATCTTTACTGAAGTCTAACTCATAGTGGACTCATTGGGTCTATGAAACCACCCGTGGTTGTTCCTTAACCCCCGAGTGTTCAGTCAGAATTGATATGCTTGCATCAAGCACCAGCCTCTGGGGTCAGAGCTCTGACAGAGGGAAGGGCAAGTGGAGATCTCTACAATTGCTACACTCCCATGTCTCCCTGCTGAGATAGTAAATTAGAAATGTTCCATCTCAGGGTAGAGGCAGGAGAATGCAGAGATCAATGCCAGTCTGAAAGGCCTGAAAGATGTGGAATGGTGGTCCCAAGAGTACACCCTTTTAATACACCAGTCTGGCCCCTTTATAAACTAAGTGGATCTTGGAAAGTAACTGATAAGGACTGTAAGCTCAATCAGGTAGGATCAGAGACCACAGCTGCTGTGCTAGATGTCATATCATTCCAAGGACAAAAACATAAGGCCTCAGGTACATGATGTGTGCAGCCACTGATTGATGAATTTGTTCTTTTCCATTTCAACTATATGAGAAGAAAAGAACTCCTGTGAGAAGAACAATACTCATTCACAATTTTGCCTCAGGAATGTGCTAATCTCTTCCCCTCTGTACTACTCCAAGGAGGTCTGGACTGCTTGAGCATCCTCAGAACATTACACTGATCCATTACACCAATGATGCTTTCACCTGGTTAGGCAGAATAAGCAAGCATTAACTCATGCTTGATGGATGGTGAATGATTCTGAGCACCTTTTCATATACTTACTGACTGTTTTGTATCACAGTGTATCTTGTTTTATGAAATATCTGTTCAAGGCTCGGCACCCATAGCACAGTGCTTACGGCGCTGGCCACGTGCATCGAGGCTGGCAGGTTCAAACCCAGCCCTGGGCCAGCTAAAGCAACAAAGGCAACTGAAAAAACAACAACAACAAAATAGCCAGGTGTCGTGGTGAGTGCCTGTAGTCCCAGCTACTTGGGAGGCTGAGGCAAGAGAATCACTTAAGCTCAAAAGTTTGAGGTTGTTGTGAGCTGTGATGCAACAGCACTCTATGGAAAGTGACATAGTGAGACTCTGATTTCAAAAAAAAGAAGAAAGAAGTATCTGTTGAGTGGCACCTGTGGTTCAAGGGAATGGGACACTAGCCCCATATGCTGGAGGTGGAGGGTTTGAACCCAGCCCTGGCCAAAAACTGCGAAAAAAAAAAAAAAAAAGAAAAGAAAGAAAGAAAGAAAGAAATATCTGTTCAAGTATTTTGGCCACTTAAAAATTATTTCTTTTCATTATAAAAAAATAATTACATTAATTTAGAGAAGTTCTTTATATATTCTTGGTATAATTCCTTTGTCAGTTATAAATATTTTCCCTGGTTTATAACCTAGAACTTCATTTCCTTCATTTTAATTTGCAAAAATTTTAAATTTTCTTGAAGTCCAATTTATCAGTTTTTATCATTTATACTTGGTATTTTATAATCCTTTCTGATAAATCTTTGTCTGCTACAGGTCACAAAAATACTATCTTATGTTTTCTTCTGCACATTTTATTGTTTTTGCTTTTATCTATAAAAGCTTTTCTCTATAATGTATCTTAAATTAATTTTTGTGTATAGAATCAGGTAATGGTTAAGACTGATTTTGATATCTCAGATGGCTTAT